AACTAAAAGCAGTTTAAATATCCCCCTACCAACTTTTAGGGAATCGTCGCTCACTTTTATCCTAAAAGCGCTCAAAAAGAAGCTTAAAAGGAGGTACCCATAGAACCCTGTTATGTAACTGTTAGGTAAATGTTACGTTTTCGGAACTAACGTGTTATGTAGCATAAAAGTAACATGGAAGTAAGATGTTTGTTATTATTTCCCACTCAATAAGATAACATGTTATATTAATATTATAAGTTCAGTTACCTGCAAATAATATTAATTTTTCAAACATTTAATACAAAAAATAAAGCAATTTTATACAAAATTATACAATTTTTTTATTTTGTATTATTTTGTGTCACTTAGCAATAGTTAGGTATTATATAATAGATCAGACTTTAAATGAAATTATGTGAAAGACAAACTATCTGATTTTATTTAAAGACTAGGATTTCATTCGACTTGCAAACAATTACTGATGTGTATGCGCGTACGAAGTAAAATTACATTTTTTCATATGATTAGAAAAGAAAATATGACATATATTAATCTTATGACATTCGACAATGAATTATGACAATGACGATGAAGATGATGTAATAAAATAAATGACAGCACCAATGTAGTTCTGTTTTGTTACAAATATGTGCTGCATATAGACAGTAATACCAGGACAGTAACATAATGTAAGATAAGAGTAACAAAGTTACGCTACATTTATGTAGATATGATAGTAACAAATGTTATGTAACTGGTTAGCTCCTTGTTACATAACTGTTAAATTACGGCATTGTACAAATGGCAGGTAACTAGTTAGCTCTATGTTACGTAACTGTTAGCATGTTACATTGTAACGAACGTTATGTTATTTGTTAGTTTTAAGTTACGTAACTGTTATGTATGGTGTTCAGTGGGTATGAATAGATATTCCTGCTAAAATACGTCTTTTATGGCTTCTTTTAAGGACTTTCTATAAAAGTGATTTAAAAGTGATTTAAAAGCGAGACATGAGTAGAGTCTCTTTTAACAGTGCTCTAAAATACGTCTTTTAATGCTAAAAGTGAGATATGAGTAAGAACCTTGAATTTTGTAAATTTGACATTTAAAGTTTGCATCCAACTGGAGTATTTATGTACGCACGGCTGTTTATACATATACGCTTTTTACACTTTTGAAAATTTTTGTTCTTGCACGCAAAATTGCTCTTAACCTGTGCGAGGTAATGATGGTGAGCTAGTTTCCAACCAAATTTCGCCCCGAAAAGATATTGCTGTAGCATGTGCAACATACGTTTTTAGATATTATTTTCTGTAAAAAAAAAATCTGTTTTACTTGGAGCACATGTATTTTCAAACGTATTGATACCCCAATCCATACATAAATCTTTTTAAGTTTAAAATAATGCTAGGGACGATTAACATCATATAATAAAACAAAATTTACACTAATTATTAGAAGTGCCATTATGTCAGTCCACTCGACTTTTTGATTATGTACAAAAATGTTTAAATAAAGCCCAAGAAGAGACTTACGGCAACATTTTTTAATATCTGCCCAGGAAGTATAGAAAATTTACATAGGAAGAAACAAAAGGTTACTCAGATACTTAGTCTGACATTAGGATTAAAATAGTACAAGTTGTGGAAAATAGCATTTAAAGTTGACAGTGTAAATTCATCAAGAATAACAGGTGAAATAAATGAGCCCATCATTATGAAAGTGGTCTAAGTCAAAATTAAAAAAAAATGAGTTTATCAGTTATTTCACCCCACATTATTTTAAAATAAAATTAATTCAATGTAATTTTTTCGATATTGTCAAAAATGAACCATTAGATAGTGGTTGTAATTTCAATATTATATGGAATTCATTTAGTGTTAATTATGAAAGTTGTCTAAGTCAAAAATTTAAAGAATTGATATAAACATAACCTTAAAATAGCACGTGGCCCTCCTTGGCGCGTTTTTGAACTACACAATAAGCCGACAAATGACAATCAAAGGATAACAGAAACAACAATACTTTCCGGTCTACCTAACAATATATAGAATTCATTTTGTTCTATTTTGAAAGTGCATTAATTCAGTTGGGCTCTTCCGAACTAATTATTGGCGGAAAAATAATTTATATATTTTACCACTATGTCAACAGATAGCGGTTCAGTTAGCTAACTTACGTTAATGGCAACGTACTTATTATGTGAATACGTTAATTATTATTCAGATATGATGTGATTTGCAGATATTATACGACCACGTAATACTTCTTTAGATGATTCTAAATTCCATGTTTTGAATCTTTCACCTAAAAGAGGAAGACCAAAAATATACGGAAATATTAAATTACTTCCATTATACCCCACCACTAGACCAGTAACGGAAGAAAAACATAAAGATATTATGTGTTTACTACCATACATCCCTCCAGTTTTTCAGGAACATTTTAAGAATCTTAAAAACTCATAACGATAAAAGCCTAAAATGATAAAAATGGATTACTTTTTAAAAATAATTATTAAAGGTTCATGAATTATTTCATTAAAATTATTGTTTCTAATATAACTCGTAGTTTTTTATTGCTTTAAGTCATTCATAGGACATTCAGTTAATTTTGAAAATGGTCCAAGTCAATTCACACTTTAAAAACGACATTTTGGTATGAAATTCACACAAAATTTCATATTCATAATAAATTTCCATTAATCAAGAGTAATAAAATTCTAAATTAAAATGTTGCATAATATAAAAATATTTTTTAATTTATTCAAATGCAATGCATTAAATATCTCGAAACAAGAAATATATGATTTAGACCACTTTCATAATTATGGGCACAAATGTCTACTGCCAATCAGTCAATGCAATTCTCTTTTCGCTTTTGAATAATGATTTTGTGTTACTTTTCTTACCTTCTTAGCTCTAACTCATACCGTTTGTGTTACAGAATAAATTTAACAACTATTTTGGAACTGACACCATATTAGATAAGTGGTGTATTCTGCGTTTTCAACTGTAACACAATTAAAGTTTCAAACTTTCACGGTTTGCAAATTACAATTATGCACAAAACATGCTTTTATACCAATTTATAAAAAATAAAAACAATTTTTTAAAAGTTCATTGATTGCATCGACCCTCTAACGAACGATCAGCCTGGTCCCAAGAATTGACTACTATCTGTATACCCTTTCGCTTGACTGCCAAACTTGAAATATGTTCGAGAACATTATCTGGACCTGTCCGACTCCAAATTTAATTTGTGGCAGTCTTTTCATCTTTCTTGAATTTTAAAATGTGTCAAAAATGTCCAAAAATTTTGAAAAATAATTCTATATGTTTCTGTCAGAGAAATTCTTGGTCACACTATCACCATAGGTCCATAAACTGACACCAGTAAGATAAGGATCATCATTGTTATTATTGCCAGTCGTTTCATCGTTCCTTTAAATTTATTTCTAGTATAGATTTACGATACATTTTTTCTTCTTACAATCCAGTTGCAATAAAGTATTTGCCTAATTGATAACTGCTCAAAAAAGCTAGAAGATCATTTCCAAAGACATACTGGCCCTACCTGGGAAGAGCTTGAGAACTGCCTAGAATTTCATTAAAAAAAAAAAAGTAAGCTCAGTGACACTAATTTCTACAAATTGATGTGAAAGGTAAGGACATGTGTAAGAATGTTTTCACCTTCGTGAGATAGTTCTGAAAAAGTATAGTTGAATTCCGGAACTAAAAAGTTGGATCTAATTCTTCAAAAAATTATACAGTCAGATATGAAGGGAATATGTCAATGAGGAACAAAGACCAAGCGATTGGAGGTCCATGGGCGATTCTATTCCAGGTATTACTCAACAAATGAGGTCATTGTTATCCAAACACAAGATAAGGCTGAACTAAGGCTATTCTCAGAAGGAGTGGGCAGAAAAGGAAGTTTATCCTGGACTACAGATCCAAGTAGGTGGGCTCTTTTTGATTGCTTTTGTTTTGAAGCCTACACTAATATTGTCTCTTAATAAGTCACTGTATTAGCCTGCAAGATTTATGGAAAATATAAGGACTTTTTAATAGTGGATACACCTTAATTATATTTCCTACACATATTACGTACTTAGTCATAGTCCAGTAAAGAATTCAGAGTGTGCCTTTCAGTTTTAACATATAAAAAAAACTATAGTTCATTTACATCTAGTCCAAAACTATTGTGTTCAGGACTACTTTTCTAAAAAACATGGAAGTCCTACAAAAAATAACTCTTATCGCAGGTGCTGGCCATCTACCATACCCGATTATATCTGCCCTTTGTGCTCAATCATAACCATACCGAACATTGTTACTCACATGTTCCGATATTACTACTTTGTACCATTAGTTAATCAAAAATCATAAATAATTAATTCATTAAATATCTAAACAGTACAACAATTTGAGCAAAGTGGAAATCATTTGAGCATTGAATTGTTAACCCTACTTTACAGATTACTATATATTAAAGTCTTTAATCAGTGCATGCAAAACATTTCCACATATATTGTTATAATATTCAAAGCTGAGTACCAATGTAATGAGAAAAAAAGAATATATACTAAATTCTGAATAATAATCTTCGTCAGGTTTAGCAGAGCTCCTGTATATTTCTATCTCTCTCTGTGTGTGTGTGCGCGTGTGTGTGTAACGCGTGCTTTGGTGCGTACGCACGCGGTGGTGTGTATGACGTGTGTACATATACCTATGCATTCATGTATAGGGCTAACTCATTCTGCAACTCCATGGTGAGCTTCAATTGAGAATTGTGAATGTTTCCGATTATATACAAAAATTATGGAATTAGTATGGGAGAACTAATAAACTATCACAAAGAACCGGCGAAACTCGTTACACTATTCTCTGATACAAAAAATGTCATCCAATCTCCATACATAAACATTTACTGAAAAATACCATCCTACTAACTGCCTGTGTTCCATGCTTGGCTTACCACTTTGAGAAAAAAAATACTGTTTCCTTCAAACATACCATAAACCACACTTGTTGAGAACACGACGAACAATAAAGCTGCGATGCGAGACATTTCCACGATTGTGAATTTTTTTACTGAGTTGTCAGAGAAATGATGTGCAGCCTCGTCCGTCTCTAACTTAATGTTAGGATGTCTAGACCACTGATTTCTGCACGTAGAAGACTATGTTCATCCGTATATTCACGATCGTACCACAGACCCTGAACTGCTCAGGCCGATTCCAGAACAATGAACATTAGTCGCACCCACCCGTTTCTCCGCAACGTTCTGACCATAGACTAGAGAGTTGCAGAGAGTGCCCCAAGCGAGGTTGGGAGGTTGCGTTTGGTGGTGCTTGGCAGCTCCTGCAGCGGGAATCTGTACTTCGGTGTCGGTATTTATCGATATCGGTAACTAGAGTTCGAAAATTCTCGGTAACATTAAATTGGAGAAGGTAACTGTGAAACATACCGTAAGTTACCGGGAACATTGAGAATTTAAGAGAACGTTAATTTTGTTATTTATACTTTAGGTTTCTTCGTTTATATAACTTTTTTTTTTCAATCAACTTTAAAGTTCAAGCTAAAGAGTAATAATTACTATTAGAAAATATTCATTATAGGGTCGTATTTTCCTCCAGCTAGAAATATTTACGTATGTACAACTTCACGGAAAATTCCATGCCATTTGTTTCAAACGAACTGATATTTCATTCTGCGACAAAGCGAATGGGAGGTTTTGATTGGTTATGGAGAACGTACAACGGAAATTCCCCTCTACAATATTTCCCTACAGCTAATCGAAACCTCTCGTTCGCTCTGTTGAAAAATTCAAATTCTCATAATTTCTCGATAAAAAAGGCTTTGGAGAAATTACCGATAAATTACCGGGAATTTCTCTTCGTTTCTGACGTAACTTACTGGATTTAGAACTCTACACTGTCAGTAGGTACCGATAGAGTTCTAAATCCAGTAAGTTACGTCAAAAACGATGAGAAATTCCCGCTAATTTATCGGTAATTTCTCCAAAGCCTTTTTTATCGAGAAATTTCGAGAATTTGACTTTTTCAACAGAGCGAACGAGAGGTTTCGATTAGCTATAGAGAAACATCGTAGAGGGGAATTTCCGATGTACGTTCTCCGTAGCCAATAAAAACCTCCCATTCGCTTCGTCGCAGAATGAAATATCAGTTCGTTTGAAACAAATGGCATGGAATTTTCCGTGAAGTTGTACATACGTGAATATTTTTAGCTGGAGGTAAATACGACCCTGTAATCAATATTTTCTAATAGTAATTATTACTCTTTAGCTTGAACTTTGAAGTTGATTGAAAAAAAAAAGTTATTTAAACGAAGAAACCTAAGGTATAAATAACAAAATTAACGTTCTCTTAAATTCTCAATGTTCCCGGTAACTTACGGTATGTTTCACAGTTACCTTCTCCAATTTAATGTTACCGAGAATTCTCGAACTCTATGGCAGTGTCGCTTGCGCGAACGACACTAGCGACTCGGTGCGATTCTGTACTTGCAGTTCATCAAGACTTGACGATGCAAGCGACAGTCTCGACGAGTCGGCACAGTTTACGCGAGACTTGACAACACTGTGCATTGCTACCAATTAATTACTAGATACATACCTAGAGAATTAATTTATAAGGTAACGTATTATACGTGATAAAACGATATATGTATTTGTAATTGATGTTTAAACTTCGTTTCATCTTATGTTATGAATGTCATTGGCGGGAAATAATGATTTTCTAAGAAATAAGTGATTTTCATATTCTGCAAAATCTGCTGCCATTTTTAATTTCTTTTGCACCAATTTAAATAATTTTGGTGTCATCATTTTTGTTATTTTCCACAAGTGTTTTAATTTTGTATCCTAAATTTTGGTTAAGTTAATGTTTTACTTGTTTAATAATTTTAAGGCTGATGAAGTATTTTGAAGGCAAGCAATTAATGTCAACGTGTAAGTACATACATATTTAAGTAAGAAATAATGGAACAAGGTGAATTCATTAAATGTGTAATTACAAATAATTAAGTACGTTATATCAAATATTATAGTAAGAACAGTATCCATTAAAATAATGCAAGTGTACGGAAAACTGATGAAACCCTCGAGAATTTAATAATATATTGCTGCTGTACATGAAATTTGTAATTCGTTTTAGTGAATGAATAATAACGACTCTTTCATGTCTAGCATATTCGTCCTGCCTGTTCACATGCACTTCCACGATTCCTATAGGTTATATTCCTATCAAAAGCCCGTACAAAATACCTGCACTTGAGGTTATAAAATATTAAATCCTGATCGGCAGAAGATTAATTTGCAAAAAAAGCTATTTTAATCTAAAATATCTTTTTGCCTATATTATTTTGCAACATGTATATATTTATAAGCAAATATCCTTACATTGAAATAATAGAACTACTTATAAGAAATGATACCGACTAATCCACAAGAACAAAGATAAACCAATATTTTAACAAATTGTGTTTAACGATACGTTATTTGCTCTATCGATATTTTCTTAGCTTTAACGATTCAGTTTTAGCTCTAACGAGGCCTCCACTAGCCCTCGGTAGCCTACGGATAATTTTCGATAGCTAGCGACGCTTCTTACCAACAAGTATTGATATCTGACGTGTATGTACAGAATCGCTCCTACCGACGTTTGTCGTTAACCTATGCTACCGACATTGATAGCTATCGGATATGATGTACAGAATCCCGCTAAAGGACAATTATACGACAATTTAGAACACTCTGGTAATCGATAAACTTGCATTAGAACGGAATAAAGGCAAAACAAGTGTTGTATGCGCTTCTATGCTAAAGCGACGAGAGTACGAGGTCTCGGAGTAAAATTTAGTTAATATGGACATCACAAATGGCGCAGGACGTCTCCGTGCAATCGATTATGGCTCCAGAAAGCATGGATCCAGAAGATTTCTGGAGTTTCACTTCGATTTCTTTATAATTATTGTACGAAAACGACAGGTGGAATATGCCATTTAGTACAATACCCAATATAATTCAACACATCTGTCGATATAAAAACAAACGTCGGCAACGTAGGTATTTTGAAAAATCTTCCTTACCGACATCGATCAAGTTCCTCGACGTGTTTCACGTCACCCTAATCCAGTCGAACGGATTCGACGCGTGTTGCACTTTACAAGTCGATGGAAAAGTGCAACCGTTCCAAACCTGGACTATATTTCTTTATCTTCGGAACCTCGTGTGGTCAAGCCATTTTGGGTATGTCGATTTGTTTCTTCCAGTAACAATAACCAAAAGTGTAAAAACAAGCGATATTAGTTACGTGTATTGATGCGTTTGGTAAATAAAAGACAACCTGGGGTGATTTTTACGAAGGTCAGATATCGTTAACGTCGCAAACGGCAACCTTCTGCTTTCATGTGAGGCTCTTTTCTGCTTTTTACTAGTTGCAGCCTATATATTATAATTATCCAAGGGTATAAACGATGGTGTTACGAGGCTACCCGATTTTCCTCAAAATAGAGAGGCGCGCATTCTATTAAGTATGAGTCAGTTACCGGAAGATAAATATCGAATCGAAAGCAACGACAGTATCGCCCGATTAAACCGAAAAAAATAACGAGTGAAATAATCATCGAGGAATGTTTTGGCTTACTCGCACGCACTCCGCATCGAACTGCACTCTGGACCAAAACACGGACCTACTCTTCCGTCAACATAGTGACTACCTCAGCACTTCCGATCAAGCTTCTAACAACTAAATCCAGAAACAAAGAAACTGGGCCCTGTCCTCACGGGCATCTCAAGGATAAGATCTCGTATAAAAGCGGTACCGAAAAGCAGCCGGCAGTAGTATAGAAGAGTTCAAGATAGCATACAGAGCAGTCTCCGGAACGAGGCTGGAGCTCTCTGAAGAGCTGACCGGACCGTAGTAACAGTTGTGCGTTTCGGTACTCCTACATCCACGAGCCAACAGTGAGAAGAACGACGGCGCTGTGAATTCCGGACCAGCGGGAGAATCTTAGGAAGTTCCAACCCTAGGGCACGCCTCGGTTTGAAGGCGTTCACGTGCAGTTCATCGCAACCGGCAGGACGTAGGAGAGTCACCGGAAGTAAAAGCCTCTGCGAAGGCAAGGTACAGGTCCTCTTTGAAGAGTTCCACTCTTCCACTCTCGCACTCTTTTACTCTTTTATCACTCTATTTTGAACCCTATTCCAAATTACTAACCCGCAATAGAATTCGGTATCTACCTTCCGGTAACAACTATCAAATTCTAACTCTTCAAGTATGAATCGCAACTCATTAGCTGCCCTTGCTGAGTAAGGCAAAGCGCACCTTGCAAGCAAAGAATTCCGTGTCAGTATTCCGCAATTGATACGCGGACGTATCTCGATTACACTTCCGCGAGGCGCTACCGCGCGGCCTACAATATCCTTGTCTCGACTCGCGACGATCTGCTTAGCGCAGCACATATAAGCACACCTTACCCCCATAGACATTGTACCCCTTATATCATAAATAGAACTGTTTCATTCAATACAAAACAACGACTTGGTTCTCACGAAACCTTAAAATCCTGCTGTGTCCTCATTGCAACTTTCCAACACCCTGTGAGGACCAAAAAACCTATCGATCCCACCAAAGAGGTTGACCTAGCCGCTCGGGTTATCCTCTCCATATTTCTCAAACAATAAACTGGTTACGTGTGCGTACGAGTTAATATCTCTACAAACAGTATACCGCTCCGAGGAATCTGCAAAATTCCCCCGGCCTCGCTAGCCAGTCGGCCGCCACGTAACAATGGCAAGAATACTCGAGGACCAGCCGTCCATGGTTTTATTAACGCCGCTTTCTTCATTCTTTTCTGGTTTAAATGCATTTTCTTTTTTTTTAACACATGCTGTATGACCGATGCACTGCTTTAAGAACCTTTCCATTTTTACTTAGATCGTGTTATGTGTATAAATAAACTCAAGAGCAATTTGAAAGTATACATACTGTAAAGTATGGTAAACGTTCCCTCCCTAACTTCGCTACTTTTAATGCACCGATGCATGAGAACAAGAAAAAATGGAAAAAAGATTCAGCAATTTGACAGCCAGCGACGAGCCTGCACCGAGGAAATCGTTAATCCGGTACATTTGTCGTGCCAAAACATACTTCGAAAAGACTGGGATTTTCAGTTCCGACTTATCGAGTATCTCTAACGATCCGTTGCTGTTCCAGTACTCTTTAGACACCGACTCTTTTCCATCAGACCGATGTAAACGCCTGTCGAAAAACAACAAAGGACGTGTGCCCTGTTCTTTTTTTTGTCCTGACACCTGGGGGTGAAACGGGGGAGAACGACCGATTGATTGACTGTCGGTTTCCAGGTCTTGCGACTCCGGAACGGAGAACATGTTGTCGCCGAATCTGGACGTCCTGATCGGGGATTCAAGAGACCCCCTGATTCAGGGACACCCTTGCGACGTGACGTCCTCCTTCGAAGGTCAACAGGCGAAGAATCAGATCTATGACAGCGGTGATAACGACGATTACGCCGAGAGTGACAACTAATCGCTAGATAAAGAATCATGGATTTTGGAAAATTCATTCATCGAATTGATCTTCGGGATCCTGAGTCGATGGACGTGAAAGACTCCTGCAAAGCGGGAGATAAGGACACTGGATGGACGATATCTGGAGACAGACAGTAGTGATCGGATTAATCAAGTACAAAGTACTCTTGATTCCGCCAAAAATGGCGGATTTTGCCTCTGAAACTTACCAAATTATTTAAGAGCGCGATGGAACAAAGGAGGGCAACTTCGAGGAACTATACTTCAACGTACTTTTACGTCCGCCTCAGGGGGTCGACACTGCCCTGTATTGGGGTGTAACGCTTTATGCACTACCGCCGTCTTCGGTTGGAGTAAGCCTTCTTCGCGAACTAAAATATTTGGCGGGCTATTCAAATTCATTTATTAAAAGAAGGGATATTTTCGGGATTTAAAAAAGTACTTGCAATGATCAAAACAGACGTTGCTTAAACTGACACACACAAATGTAAGGAAACAGTATATTAAACATAGAAGAAGTAACAAAAGTGTCAGTGGCGTAACGCCTGTTTTAAATCACTGTAAGAACTGAAATAATTACATTAAACATTAGTTAAAACGTAAAATATTTANTAAAAGAACCTCGTCAACCCTATCATTTGTAATAATCTTGTATTATTATACATTTGTAATACAGTAAAGGTAAATAAAATAACAATTGTACTCCATCAAATATAAAGATTCAGTAACTTAAATGATATCTATATTAAGGATATTTATGAAACTGATTCAATTAACAAACTGAGCAAACGTTTTTTTATAAGGAATGTTTTTCAGGTGTACGTCTCCGATTTTATTCGCTCTCATATATGTGATAAAGCATTAAAAAGTAAGAGACACGTGTTTTTTTATAGCTGCTCAAATTGATTTTAAGGGTGTGAAATCATTCCTTAAAATGTTATGAAAGAAATGTTTTTTTCTGATTACAAGTGCTTGCGGTTGATCTATTTAACTCTTTGAGGCACGGTGGTATTAAAAGTGTCCCACCTTTTAATGCGGTGGGGTATAAATGCCGTGCCTCAAAGGGTTAAATGAAACGTGGTACAAAATGTCCATCATGGTAGGCATGTTTGTCTGATAAAGTAATCATTTTTTTCTCAACTCCGGATGGGTGTAACCCCTAATGTATATCACTAACAACTAGCACGATTCAAGCTTGGCAATATTTAACATTTGAAGACAATTTTGTTATTTATGCGAAAAAGATAATGTAGATAGACGCTGTATATACATACTCACAATCATATTTAAATAATTTGTATTATTTGTTTTTGTTTATGAACATTTATTTTCTTTAAGAAATCGTTTTCTGCCGTTTGGGCGAGTCAAATTCCGCGCTGCTCTCGTCGCTAGTACGCCGCGCGGCCGGAGAGGGCAGTAGGTCCGCAAGGAAACCATCGATGAATAGCAGTGGCCACCTTAGTCAATTGAAACTCTAGGAATGTCCCAAGTTCAAGGTTGGGTAATATCACGTTTTTCGATATGTGACGTTTGACATACATACATACATACATACATACACAACCTCTTGACATTAGTCGCTTTCTTCTGGATAAAGATAGAGAATGTGATGTTCGACCGCAGAGAAAGTTTTACTTTCATGCAGTACTAAACTACGCATTTTGTGCAGTTACATTTCGCAGACGTACCACGAATGTCAGTTATATGACAAGCGAGTGCTGTTAAACACTCTGATTTGACTGTTACACCTTGTTATAAATCGTTTAGTGATGATAAAAGTTGCTTAGTAATACTGTTAATAACATAGGATAACTAAGTACTAAAATAGAAATATTACATTTTCAAGAAATACCCGAAACTGTGTCCAAAAACCTAAAAAGATGCAGGAGGCGATGATTCCAATCAATGGAGTACCGACTCATGTGATGACCCAAGGGTGTTGGATAGAAGAAGATTTAGCACCAGGAGGTTGTAAGGACATAGTTGTTTTAATAACAGGGAATCCAGGGATTCCGGAGTTTTACAAAGGCTTTATAAAGTCCTTGAAAGAGAAACTACCGTCTGAAACCCCTGTTTGGGTTGTAGGACATGCAGGGCATGTACAACCTCCCAAACTGCTTCATGCAAAACCTAGTGATATACCAGATAAACAGCTTTATGATATGAAAGGACAATATGATCACAAGGTTCAGTATTCATACTTTGATAACATAAAATATAAGTATTTATGTTATAATAACGAAAAATTTTTTCTATGTAGATGCAATTTATCAAGAAGTACGTTCCAAAGGATGCTAGATTACACTTGGTGGGTCACTCGATTGGTTCTTGGTTTATCTTAAATTTATTGAGAGACGAGGAAATTGAGCAACGTACCGTTAAGTGTTATCTCCTTTTTCCAACGATTGAGAATATGTTGGATACTCCAAATGGCAAATTCTATACTAGTATTGTAAGTTATATTTCAATTTGTAGAAATATTGACAAATAAGTGTTATTGTTATAGTCTACGTAAGATTATTACCAAGAATATTTTCACTTCAATAGGTTTCATGGTTAATTCCTGTTCTGCTGATATTTACATGGATTTTTTCGTGCTTTCCTTACATTCTTCAATTTTATCTGGTCAGATTATTTGGAATTTTTTATGGTATTCCTGCCAAGAGTATAAAAGCAGTACTGCAATTGTTGAATTATACTGTTTTGAACAATGTCTTCATGTTGGCCAATGAAGAGTTGCAACGAGTGAGAGAGCTAGATCATAATGTTATAGAAAAACATGCTTCAAAGCTCTGGTTCTACTATGGAACAAGAGATGGATGGGTACCGGTATCATATTATGAAAATTTAAAGGCCTGTCATCCTAAAGTTGATGCAGTGCTATGTAAGCGGCGTTTCTATCATTCATTTGTTTTAAACAATGATGTAGAAATGGGTTACATTGTTGCCGATAAGATCAATGAAATGATTGACCAAAGCCATTCCTAACCTAAAAAGATAAGATGTTTAATTAATAGAACAAAGATCGTGGTATTTTACTTGAAGCATTTAGCTGCATTTTATTTTTACAAGATCAGTGCATCAAATTATTCATCTTGTAAAATGTTATACATATATATATTTTTATATATATGTATATAATTTTTTGTTACTGCTGGGAGGTAATTGTGATATTTAGGAACAATTAATACAATACAATACAATACAATACAATACATTTCATAACGCTTTCTTGTAATAAACTATACGAGGACAAATAAGACATCACAGTAATTTTAAATAATTATGCACAAACGAATATTCTTATTCTACTGAAGCAAGCAAAAAGTTACATACAGAATTATTACAAACGATTTGTTGGGTTTTTCTACCAATCCCTATCATTTGTAATAATCTTGTATTATTATACATTTGTAATACAGTAAAGGTAAATAAAATAACAATTGTACTCCATCAAATATAAAGATTCAGTAACTTAAATGATATCTATATTAAGGATATTTATGAAACTGATTCAATTAACAAACTGAGCAAACGTTTTTTTATAAGGAATGTTTTTCAGGTGTACGTCTCCGATTTTATTCGCTCTCATATATGTGATAAAGCATTAAAAAGTAAGAGACACGTGTTTTTTTATAGCTGCTCAAATTGATTTTAAGGGTGTGAAATCATTCCTTAAAATGTTATGAAAGAAATGTTTTTTTCTGATTACAAGTGCTTGCGGTTGATCTATTTAACTCTTTGAGGCACGGTGGTATTAAAAGTGTCCCACCTTTTAATGCGGTGGGGTATAAATGCCGTGCCTCAAAGGGTTAAATGAAACGTGGTACAAAATGTCCATCATGGTAGGCATGTTTGTCTGATAAAGTAATCATTTTTTTCTCAACTCCGGATGGGTGTAACCCCTAATGTATATCACTAACAACTAGCACGATTCAAGCTTGGCAATATTTAACATTTGAAGACAATTTTGTTATTTATGCGAAAAAGATAATGTAGATAGACGCTGTATATACATACACCCTTAAGGTGAAGTGAAACACGTCGATTAACTTGATCAACGTCGATAAAGAAGATTTTTCTAAATGCCTACGTTGCCGACGTTCGTTTTTATGTCGACAGCTATACTGAATTATATTGGGTATTGTACCAAATGGCATACTCCGCCTGTCGTTTTCGTACAATAATATCAAGAAATCGAAGTAAAACTCTAGAAATCCTCTGGATTCATGCTTTCTGGGGCCCTAATTGACTGCAGAGGAACCCCCTGCGCTATCTGTGATTTCCAGGTCAATTAAATTTTCACTCCGAGTCCTCGTATTACCATCGTTTTAGTATAGAAGCGTATACAACACTTTTTTTACCCTTATCCTGTTCAAATGTGAGTTTATCGACTATCAAAGTGTTCTAAATTGTCGTAAAATTGTCCTGACCCTTTCGATTCTCATATCAAAGCCTTCGATAATTATATACTGATCGAAATATCAGAGATCGACGCCATTTTGGTTCTGGTCTGGGCTGAGGTAAAAAATTCTTTTCAAAAATCCAAATTTTTAATGTGTCAGGACAATTCTTAGATGATCAGGAGTGATGTGTCAAAGTTTCGGACAGTTTGGTCTAATACCCTTGAAAAAAAGTGTTGTATTCGAATCGACCGATTTGAAGGATGTTTCACTTCACCTTAACACTGCCAATGTCTGTTACGTCTCGTAAAGAAGTTTGTCGAAACTCAAAATAGTTAGAACTTATCCCCTATGTATGATAACCCAAGAAAGACTGGTACCACTTCTCCTGCATTTATTTCTATTAAAGGTTAAATATCAAAATGTATAATCTTGTGAATAATGGTGGACGAATTCTCGTTTCTAGAAGTTAAAAGGGTTATTCCAAAAACGTAGATACATTCATATGTAGTAGGTTGTCCAAAATTTTAATGTCAAAACTTTGGGAACATGTGAGAGACAACTCTGATAAGAACTTGTTTGTTTTTGCTTCCTTTTAGAGACCATGATATGGTATTTGCATATGGTATTTTTTTCAACGGTAATGCTTCAGGGGCAGCACTGCAGTGTGGACGCCAATTTCCAATCAGAAGAGAGCAACTCAGAAATATAATATATACATAATTTCAATGCCCTTTTACCTAGGAAGGAGGTGCTTAATCGAAAATCGCTCCCATATAAACAAGCGTCAACGTTTTATCTTTAAAACGAGCACTCGTGGAGCTCGATCGGTTGAGAAATACGCTCAAAATCGTTGTCCCCATGGAGCACCTTTTTCAGGATTTTCGAGTTTCTCGCTAGGAATTTGGGCATTCCTTAGCAACCGTTGCCGACTCTAGGCGGAGCGTCCAACTGGTGTATGCGGGCGGCCGGGGGTCACACACGTTTCGGCGCCTAGTCCAGAGGCGTCTAGCCGTTGTGTGAGTCCTATACGTGCAAAATACGCACATATTTTTCGCCCGTTGCTACACACCGCCCATTGTGCGTCGCGTCTCCCTCATCTGAGCGAGAAAGTACGTTTTGGTTACCTCCCACCGAATTCGATGCTAATGCCATCTAGCGGTGGAAGTCACCACTTTGGTGGTGAACGCCGTTAATAGATTTTTGTAATTTTCTCTAAAAGGAAGCAAAAGTGAATAAATTCCTATAGTTTTCTCTTAGTTTACTGGTGTCCCACACGTTCTCAAAATTTTTTAATTGGGACACCACGCATATATTTTCTTATTTAATGTTACAATATTTTAAAAGATGTAAAGGTCATTTTTATTTTTATTTTCTATATACATAATTATTACAATAAAATACATGATATAAACTTGACAACTAAAGTTATTTGTCTATCCTTTCGAATGTAAACTAAGAATAATTTTATAGTTTATCATATTTAATTTTAAATTACCTAATAACGGATGAGCGGAATGTGGGTTTATACATAAGCAGTCAAGTACCGAGAATCGGGCGTGCATAAGGTCCACTTATATGCGTCTGATTCGGCTTCAGTTTGTAAAATGATGAACATAAATGTCTCCCACAGGGTGTAACGTGGCAGAATACTGCCGTCATAAGTTAGAGCGCAGCGGTGGCGGTGAGTACCAAATTTTGTAATTATTTAATTTCAGCATCGGTTGGGGACACTCGGGATCATCTTGGGCAATAATTTGTTGCATGTATTTGGTAGATTTATAAGTTTTATTCTAGGGATTGTTATTTATCGTGTGTGGAATAAGACGTATTCCGTGTAAAAGAACCTCGTCAAGTACATGGTCGTTGCGAATCCCCATTTTGAAAAAAAAAAAATAGTTATATTCACATTATGCTTCTACCTACAAAAAATACTGAAATCAAATCACAAAGCCAAGCACATACGCCGGGAAGTATCTGCTTCTTATATAATCTGGCATTAGTTTATCAATCTTTTTTCATTGACGAACTTTGATGCCTTCACTAGTTTTACGTTTTTGCTGTAAATTTAAGTTAAGTTTAATCATCATAAGTTTTTATTATGTACAATGTTAAGTGATTTCTTATCGAGTACTACTTGGCGAGCCCATGTTTAACAAAAAACAAAATTATTTTCATATGTTTAACATTTGACTCTGGATAGGGCCCTCTTCACTGAAATCGTTGTAAATGGATAACACGTCGATTAATTGTGCAGAACACGTGTATCTATACAGGCTAAAAGACTGTGTTAAGATTTTATGGAATATTCAAGTCAACATTTTATTATAATAACATAATTAACCATAAATAACATTTTGCCAAATAATTAAGCCCGATTCTCAATTTTCTCTGTCGTGAAATGTTTTACCTGAAAAATGACAACTTAGATCTTAACCTCTATCGTATTAGGTCATTACAATATTACGATACCTTCATAATGTTAATGTAATTAACACAATACGAATTGTTGTTCCTACCCTATTTCCACAACAAAACTATTTTTAACACGTTAAGCGCGGCGTCAGTCCCTGGGGACTGACACGGCATCAAGAATCCTATATATAAAAAATTGTGCTAGAAAAATTGTAAACGGAAACTCAACAAAATCGGTTCCGCGCTTAACGTGTTAAAAATATTTATTTCTGGCCGCAACACGCCAGAAACAATCTTCAATTCACCAATCGGTCAATCCGGATGTCTAACCCTATTATTTGCGTATGACCCATATGACGATGACACAAACTATATCAACTATTAAAATTGTTTGAAAACTGTTTGAAACGAGGAGATGCCGCCATCCACCGTAAAAGAAAGCGAAAAACAATTTCATACCGATGTGGTGTCGGCAGCTAGGTTAACGGTACCTGCGTTGCTAACATACGTAGTTCAGGCAAACGCTGCAAGCGACTCTCCGATAGGACATCGCAGAATTACATGTTGATTCGCCATGTAGGGGGTGATTCGCAGGGGGTCCCTCTCCAGTCAATTAGGGCCCCAGAAAACACGAATGCAGAGGATTTCTTGAGTTTTACTTAGATTTCTTGATTTTCATTGTACGAAAACGACAGGTGGAGTATGCCATTTGGCACAATACCCAATATAATTCGGAACAGCTGTCAATATAAAAACGAACGTCGGCAACGTAGGCATTTACAAAAATCTTCTTTATCGACGTTGATCAAGTTCCTCGGCGCGTTTCACTTCACCTTAATATGTTATTACAATTCAAAAATGCGGCTACGCTTCGGTACTTCAGATACTTGGTATAACTGGCCGATGGCGACGTATCACTTGTCTAATTCGATGCCTCAAGTAACCGGTTTGAATCAGAGATGGCGCTTTAACCTTCGTCCTATTTTTGAAACGGTCCCTCGGGTACCAGAGGCATCCGCAGGAATAACGGCGCTCGTGTCGCAAAAATTTGATAGCTGTGTCCCCTTGGGCCTGGCTACTCTCATCTTCTCTCGGAATATACGTGGTTTTCTAGGCGTATATTACAACATAATACGTTCCTAGATTTCTACGTGAGCGCGAAGCATATTATCCCCTTCTATTTCGAAATAGAAAATAATGAATTCAATTGTAAATTTGATATTAAACTGGGTTAAATCGAAAGAATTTTGAACACAAGCGCCAAATTAATTCTTCCTTCAAAATTGTTACGTGTACACATATACGCTAAAAGACGTTTATAACCTAGAGAATACATATATCCTGCATCTGCGGCATCAACCATATTGGAAACGTAAAATTCTAAACAATTTCAAACGCAAGCACCATCAATTTAGTATTCCATAAAAATATTGACGTGTTTTCATATGTGCAAAAAGACTTTTATAACCTAGTGGATGCCGAATAACGCACACCTGCGGCATCCTCCATATTGGGAACGTAATTTATTGGTTTTCTACGATTTTCTACGGTAAACTACGTGGTTTACATAATGCATGTACATGCGTTGCACTGTAGGTAAATTTATATGTTCTTTTGTTAAAAAGTAATACTTCGCAATTATGTAA